GCGCTTTTCCTGCGCGCAGATCCCTCGGGCTGGCCGCGCGCAGTTCTCAGGAGACGCCCCTGTTTCACTCTCACGCTCTGTCGTTGTGGTGTCGGGCATTCGGCGAGCGACGAGCGCAAACAGCGTTCCCGCACGAGCTTGGCCAGCGATCCTACGCGGGCCGTCACTGAGGCCTGTGCGTCCCGGTTTCAAGTTGATTCCCTTGCCTCCAATTTAACCCGCGGTTCTGCCGCAGCGGATTGTTAAAAATACACCGCATGCGAGATGTTCGTTTCTGAATGTGTTCCTGGTTTTCGCCTGGTCCAGCTTCTCAAGTGCCAGATTCAGCGAAGCTGTGCACGTGCGAGCTGGATACGCAGGCTGATGTAGGAAAGATGTATAGACAGGTCTGGAGCCGAGGATGTAGTACACGGTGAAGGGGGATCCTTGCTCACTGTCTACTTCGTGTTCCTGCGCCCTCCCCCAAGAACGCGCAGCTGAAATGCAAGCAAGAACATGTTACGATGGGGTGTGGTTTGCGATCGGCGCCGTTTGGGCTTAGGGGGTCTCGTTGCGCCAAAGGTTTGGTCAGCCCTCGTCGGGGCGCGGCAGAGATCTCTGTTGAGGTCCTCACTTTGCAAAACACTCCCTTGCATTCGACACCCCTTTGCAAGTCAGACTCTCGAGGCCACGGCCTCATCCACCTGGTCTGAGCTAGGCCCGGACACTGTCCTCTGGCACCATCGCACCGCACCGCATCGCATCGCACCCTCTGCAAACCACACCCTTTGCAAACCACACCTCTCCGAGTCGCCGATGCTGCTCCCCTCGGGCGCAAAGGCGCTGTGCCTGCGGCACGGGGTGGCCCCGCCCACCGCGGCGCCCGCGGCGAGCGCGCTCACGGCCGCCGCCGGCGGGGTGCTGCTGCGCGCCGCCGCCGGCCTGGAGGCGGCGCCGCCGCAGGCGGGCGAGCGTCGGCTACAGTCGAAGCCGGTGATCAGGACGGGTAACCTTCTCAAAGGGTATTTCGGTAGCAAATCTTGGGAGCCTGATGTACCCTCTTAATTCCGTCTTTAGCGCCGACTAGCGTCGATTAGCGTCTGGGAGTCGAATGATGAGATAGCGTCGATGAGCGTCGATTTAGCGTCGACTAGCGTTCATTCGTAGAAGCCGGCAAGATGGTATGGGAGGCTCCCATGAGTTGCCACCGAACCAAGGGTACCCTTGCATCCTTGCCTCTTCGGCCCCCCCTTGACCACTGTCGATGGCGGCCAGCCCCGCGCGAAGTGCTTGGGCATGGGTGTCCACGGGGCTTGCATACGTACCGCGCATCCTTACCATCAGTTCGGACTGCGCACGTGATAGTGGCCCTTCGCTGGAGTAACTCTTGGTGCGGGTCCGCAGAGGTCCCCCCAGCATTGGTGTGCGCCCTTGCGTTTGGCCTCCCCGCGGCCTCCTAAAGCCGCGCACCAAAGGTCACTCTTGCCTGAGGTCACTCTTGCGTGTAGCCGAGAGGGCGCCTCCGGCTCCCGGTGCGACTGCCGATCGCGGATCTGCGATTGTGTTCTGCCCTCCTGGGCAGCCGGCGTCTGAGAAAATCTAGGCCGAGGTTTTTCATCGGTTTCGGCCTCTCGGGGCCCTCACTGGGCCTCGGGGGCGTCAACATACGACTCGGTATGAATTATTGGCTCCGGGTAAGTGATCGAGAGATCGGGGTCCCGCTTCTTTACAAAATCGAGCCGCCGGATGTCTGAGCTCCGTACTTTCTTTAGTCGCGCTGCCGCGCGTATCCGCCACCGCGCTTAAGGGAAGCTGCGCTGCCACAGCAGCGATTTGCGGGCGTGGCGTTGCACAGTTCCTCGACCTGTTATGGAGCTGGTTTGCGGTCTCCTCAAGCTAGTCGGCTCGTTGAGCCCGCTTCGCGGAAGCCACGGCGGGACCCCCCTTTCAGGAAATTAGCCTGCGGATCTCGCGACCGTGGTAGAGGTGGAGGAGGACCCGTTCCCCCTCTCCCCGTAGGCGGGGGTGGGTTTCGGGATTCTTCCCCCCTCTCCGCTCAACCGCTTTCCTCTTGCTGCCTCTGGCTCCTGCCGAGGCGGCGCCGCCGTAGGCGGGCTAGTGCGCTGCCTGCCTGCTCCTGGTGCGGTTGCCGATCACGGATCTGTGGTACGGTCGGGGGTCCCAATACAGTGTGGTGACGGACCGCGCGGTTCGAAATCCCAGAAGACCTCACCCCGCGGTCCGTCACAGCACGGTCTGGGACTTCGGAGGCCCTGGTGGCCCGAGACGTCCTCGGAGAGCGACCCGAGTCCCAAAACCGTGCGATGATCCCGAATCCCCACTGACATCACCATGCGGCGTGGTCACCAACCGTTTGGGGGCCTCCGACACGACCTTGAGATTCGAAGGACAAATTTTAGCCAGCGTGGACCTCAAACAGTGGCTCATACCAGACTGGGTGATGCAGTATACGTGGTGCAAGCTAGGTGACGCAAGCTACGTGGTGCAAGCTATGTGGTGCAAGCTACAACGCGCGATCCATTTTGTACAACAATTGTGGTGCGATCTATGTGGTGTGAGCTATATCGTACAATCCATGTGGTGCGAGCTATGTGGTGTAGTCAGGCTATTTTGTGCAGTCCAAGTGGTGCCATCTATGCAGAGCAATGTTGTGTGAGTTAGTTGGTGCAAGCTACCTGGTGCACACTATGTGGAGCCAACGTGCTCATCTAGGTGGTGTGAGAAAGGTGGTGTAAGCTACGTGGCGCAATCGATGTGGTCCGATATATGGGGCGTGAGCTATGTAGTGCAATGTATGTGGTGCGATCCATGCGGGGCAAGCTATGTTGGTCAAATCTAAGTTGTGCAAGCTATGCAGTGGAATATGTTTCTATGTGGTGTGAGCTATGTGGCGCAATGCACAGTAACACAAAACACTGCACAGCAGTGCAAACCAAAAGCAAAGCAATGCAACGTGATTGCAATGCAACGCAATGCGATTGCAATGCGATTGCAATGCCATGCAATTGCACTGCGATTGCAATGCGATTGCAATGCAACGCAATGCGATTGCAATGCTCTGTGATTGCACTGCGATTTCAATGCAATGCGAATGCAGTGAAATTCAATGCGATTGCAGTGCAATGCAGTGCAATTGCAATGCAATGCGGCGGCGACAGGCGGCGACGAGGCGGCAACTGGCGGCGACGAGCGACGACGGGGGAGCGACCACAAGCCAGCCAGGGCGGTTCACGAGCCCGCGACGCGATCGGCGACGGGGTGGCGACGGGGCGGCGACAAGCCAGACGGGACGCCGACGAGTTCAGTTCTTCAAAAAATTCTCCTGGCGAAGGTCCCAACCATATGCAGTTGTGGGCACTGTAATTGTGAATATCTGCTTCGGTGAAGCTCCCTATCGGGCCACGAAGCGCTGCACTGGGCGGGGGGGAACGCTGTACTGTGTGGGTGGGGTGCCGAATCGGATTTCCGGGACGCATGCGGACGGTCCCACTGAGGGCTTCGGTGGAGCTCCCTATGGGGCCACGAAGCGTTCTACTGAGTGAGTGAACATGCCAAATTGGGTTACGGGGACGCATGCGGACGGTCCCACTGGGGGCTTCGGTGGAGCCCCCTATGGGGCCACGAAACGCTGCACTGCGCGGGTGAAAATGCCAAATTACATTTCCCGGACGCATACCGACGGTGGCATTGGGGCCGTGGGTGGAGCCCCTTATGGGGCCACGAAACGCTGCACTGGGTGTGTGAAAATGCCAAATTGGGCTTCTGGGACGCATGCGGACGGGGGCACTGGGGCCTTCGGTGGAGCTCCCTATGGGGCCACGAAACGTTGTGGTGGGTGGGTGAAACGCAGGGAGGAGGGGGTGGGTTTGCGGGACGCATGCGGACGGTAGCGCTGGGACCTTCGGTGGGGCCCCCTATGGGGCCACGAAGCGCTGTAGTGGGTGTGCGGGACGCATGCGGACGGTAGCACTGGGACCTTCGGTGGGGCTCCCTATCCTGCCACGAAGCGCTGTACTGGGTGGGTGAAACGCAGGGAGAAGGGGGAGGAGGGCCACGAAACGCTGTACTGGGTGTGCGGGACGCATGCGGACGGTAGCACTGGGACCTTCGGTGGAGCTCCCTATGGGGCCACGAAGCGCTGTACTGGGTGTGCGGGACGCATGCGGACGGTAGCACTGGGACCTTTGGTGGGGCTCCCTATGGGGCCACGAAACGCTATACTGGGTGTGCGGGACGCATGCGGACGGTAGCACTGGGACCTTCGGTGGGGCTCCCTATGGGGCCACGAAGCGCTGTACTGGGTGTGCGGGACGCATGCGGACGGTAGGGAGGAGGGGGGGGGCACGAGAGGAGGAGAACGCGGGGACCGTCTCTTCAAAACGAGGACCCAACACCACAGGTTGGTTGGGAAAAAAAGAAGGAACCCCTAGGTGTAAGCATTGCTTGCGAAACTGCATATACATAAGTTCTCGAAGCTCCGCACGGATTTCTTGGGTTTGGGCTGGGCCCCCCTGGCGGGCTCCACGCGCTTGGAAGGGGTCCAGCGCCGTTCCAAGAAATCCGCACGGACCTGCGAGTAATTTCTTTTCCTCAGTTGTTTGTTGCTCTAGTGGCACGACCCTGAGATTCGGGCGTTGCAATGTATCCCTCTGGCCGTGTTCTCCCGTCTTCGGGCCCTGGGACCATCACACATCGATCTGACTCAAAAGATGCCGCAGAAGGATGGGCTCTCGGGCGCCAGTCATGATGTTTCGCGATGCTGCAGGTTTTCGAAAGGTCTTTGCCGGTGTTTCAAAAGTTTTCCAAGTCCATGCTGGTTCCCATCAGCTGCGCCTCGTCAAAGACCATGCCAGGGGTGCCAGGGTCGGCTCGAACGGCCGCTGGAAGCCCGAGTCATGGCCCGACGGCCAAGGGAGCGCCGGTGGTACTGCCGAATCGCGGTGGCTCAAAACTCGATCTCGGCGCTTGCCCGATTCGTTGTAATTTGTTGTAGTTGATGGCGACAGGATGCCTCTGCCCTCGACGCGATCAGAGGCCGAGAAAATTAGTTGGAGGTGAAGCAATCATTGGTCAGAAATTGCCTGAAGCCACTCCTGGCTTGAGCCAAAGGTAGCGGCATACCATACCCCAATACCAAGCAACAGCACCAACTCAACCTAATCAACTCGTCTCCGAGTCTGGCGTGAAGAGGGATACGTGGGGAGGTGGGACGACCAGCGCCTGCCCTACCGGGCGCACCCCGATCTGGTTTGCTCGGGCAAGCTCTATGGCAGAGCTGCACGGTTGCCTCCCAGCAGATGCTGTTGCGATCGGCACCAGATTTCGGCGGCGTGGTCGCTCGGTCGGATGTCCGACAGCCAGAGAGAGATGCGCCTTGGCACCGAGGCGGGCACGCTGCGGCCGCGGCCCCCGTGAGGCGCGCGTGCACACCAACGCGGAGGGCGTAGGCCTTTGCCCGCGGTCGGGCTCGATCATCGGGAGCAGCGCTAGGGGGGGGGGTTAGAGGCTCAGGGGGGAGCGCATCGACCGATCTCGCCCACTCAACGCCGATGGGGGCCCGATTGCCCACCCCGCCCAGGAGCGTGCGGGTTCGCCATCGGGTGCCCATCGCCGATCTATCGGCGGTGCATCGCCGATTCCAGGTCGATGTGTCTTCCCCACCGTGAGCCGGACCCCCCCGATCGTTTACCCTCACCAGAGGCTCATCACCTCGCGAGGCGGCGGCAGCCTCTCTGGTGCAAGGCAGGGCGCGGCGCCGATGACGGAGGGAGACGTCAAGAAGAATGCTCCCAGCAGAACATCCACACGGGCACTGGGAGAACCAGGAGGCTCTGGCGACGTCGCTGATTAGCGCTTTGGGGTGGTATTGAGGACTCAGGTTCTGGCCCTCGGTATTAGTTCGTCCCGCAGCTGCAGAGGTATCCACCACAACTATGCGGCATGGCGTGTTCACCCCCACAACGCTTCCGACGGTGCCATCTGCTCGCAGTTGTTGGATGTTTCCAGTCTTCTTGCCATGTCGCGCGGGAGGTGAAGGACGAAGGCCACTGGCAGAAGGGTGCCAGATGTTTGTGCTGGGGGCAGCTCAACACCGCCCCACAGTCCACCCACCGCTTCCGGCACCCATGCGTCCGTAACATTTTGATTATCCAGTTGCCTGCGGCAAGTCCCGCCACCGTGCCAGCCTAGCATTCTGGATGGCGACGGTTCGAGGGAGGGAGAGCCGTGATGATGATGATGATGATGATGATGATGATGATGATGATGATGATGATGATGATGGTGGTGGTGGTGGTGGTGGTGGTGATGATGATGATGGTGGTGATGATGATGATGATGGTGATGATGATGATGATGGTGATGGTGATGGCGATGGTGATGGTGATGGTGATGGTGATGGTGATGGTGATGGTGATGCTGCTGATAAGAATGAGTATGATGATGGCGTTGATGATGGAATCTGGAATGATGACAATTGATGATGATGAAGGTGATGCTGACTAGGAAATTGATGGTGGTGGTGGTGATGATGATGATGGTGATGTTGATGATGGTGGTGATGATGATAGTGGTGGTGATGATGCTTGATGACTGATGATGGTGACGCTGATGATGCTGATGGAGGTGATCATGAGGGTGAGTATGGTGATGACGATGATGACGATGATGATCCTGATGATGGTTCGATGATGGTGATGATGACGGTGACGGTTTTGGAATGATGATGATTATGGTGTTGATGAGGATGATGAGTATGATGATGGCGTTGGTGATGATGAGGGTATGGTATGAGGATAAAGGGTGATGGTGAAGGTGAGGATGACGAGCATGTTGATGGTGATTCTGATTATCTGATGATGATCATGATCACGATCATGATGATTTTGATGATAATGGTTAAGATGATGCTGATGACGATGGTCATGAGGTTGATGATGATGACGATACTGATCCTGATGATGGTGATGCCGATGATGAAGTTGATACTGATGCTGATGTTGATGATAATTATCCTGGTGAGAATAATGATGATGATGATGATGATGATGATGCTGATGCTGATGCTGATGCTGATGCTGATGCTGATACTTATGCTGATTCTGATTATGATGATTCTGATGATGATGATCATGATCATGATGATGAAACCGACGATGATGATGACATGTTGCTGACGATGATTATGGCGATGATGACGATACTGATGATGACGATGATGATGATGCTGCTGCTGATGCTGATGCTGATGCTGATGCTGATGCTGATGAAGATGAAGATGAAGATGATGGTGGTGGTGGTGATGACGTGCACAAGGCACGTTGGCGGGGCGGTTCATCAGTGCTTGTTGCTGCTGCAGATCCCGAAGTGGCTGGACCACTTCGCAGGCCACGGCCGAGGAGCGGGGCTGTCTGCCCTCTCTGGCTGGCGTGTCGGAGCGCTTCTCCACACCAGCTTGGCAGGATTGTCGCGCAGGGCGTCCAGCTGTGGGAGGTGCCCAGCCGCGGCCGCGGCTCCCCGGACGCGACCGGCCCCCACCGTTGAGATCATGGCGTTGCAATTGGTTCGAGCCGGGCGTTTTCGCCCAGTCTCGGGCCGCTGGAGCCTCACAGATCGTACCAGGTCGAATAACGTCGCAGAGGGATGGGGTCCGAGGTTCCGGCCTTGCACTTCTTCACGATGTTGCAGCTTGTGCGTCACGTCGGATCTCAGGGATCGGCGCTTGCTGGGAGCAAGCGTGGGTGAGCCCCGCGCGCGCACGCTCGCGAAAAGGTCTCAAATGGCTGTGGCTCATGTTGTCTCTCGCCCACATGCGCCCGCTTATCCTCGCCTCGGTCGTTCCATCTCCCCGTCCAGTCACATTCGTTGGTCATGCGGCGTGCCTTGTTCCAGGCTTCTTCAGTCCGAGTCCAAGTTGTAATGCTTCCATTCATCCCTGGCGAGGTGATCGCACATCGCAGAAAATATTGCTATTTACTATGTTTAGCAGTGTGCAAGTGAGGTGCGAGGGGTACAGCCTGGCGTGAGTGGGCAAAGGGAGGAGGAAGAGGAAGAGGAGGAGGAGGAGCAGCAGGAGCAGCAGGAGCAGTAGGAGCAAGATAAGTATGAGGAGCAGAAGGATCAGGGGATGGCGGAGGCAGGGAAAGGGGGGGAACGGCAACGACGAGGAAAGGCGAGAACAGAGAGTATCGAAGGGCGTGCAGCCAGGGCGGGCAGAGATGATACCTGCCATTATTTCGGAAGGGGGGACCACTAGCTGGGGCTCCATGTTGTGCCTTTTGTCTCCCTGCTCACCCTTCATACGCATCCTCCGGGCGGTGAGCGGGGAGGTGAAAATCTAACCATACCGCTGCTCCCCATGCCTCTCCCGGGGCGCGTTCTGACCAGGATTTCGAGGCGAATCCGGCCGTAGCGACGAGGAGTGGGCACCGGTATCGGTATCGCTCTTTTTTCTGAGTGAGCCAGCCCGCGCAAGCGAGCCACTGGAGCATGAGCTGCGAGGCGCCAAGAGGCGCCCTGCCCGCAGGGAAGAGGCGTGCGGAGGGGAGCCGAGCGTTGGCTCACGGGGACGGCCGGCCGCGCAGCTCCCCGGGCGGGCGGCTTCTGGAGGGCCCCGAGGGGCCTTCGAAGCGGCTGGTCGGGACGATCGAGGCGGGTGCGGAGAGAGTGGGTGATACGGTGGGGGCGTTCGTGAGCAGGGGTGTGCCCAGGAGACGTCAGACCCTGGAGGGTTCCTTGTCTGATGAGGACGGGAGGTTCTGTTATATTTGCATGGTACGTTGCGCATGGCAGTGGCTTGGGATCGGATGCCAAGGATCTTGCCAAGGACTTTGCAGATGAGATGTCTCACGAGGTTGTTCTCCAGGTATTGTGCGGGGTATTGTTCGTTACATCGCGCAAATTAATAATTGTGCGAATATTCAGTTTAGTGCCCTGTCCACTGGTTAAGACATCGGGGAGGCAATTGTTCAAGATCTTGTTAATGGCATTGTCTGTGGCATCGTTGAGAAATTACTGCGCGATGTTGTTGCTTAGGAGTTCTACTAGTCGTAGTAGTGCTCGTATTCTAGCTGCAGTGAGCAGTGCTCGTATAGTAGCTCCAGACAGCAGACTAACTTGCTATGATAATGTTGACGAGCTGTGTCCGTCTGATAGTTTAATTCGTTGAGGTAGCGGTGGAGGCGTGGCTCGCTCTAGCTGCCCACTCATGCGGGGGACTAGAACCGACACCATGGGCGGCCGGAACACCTTCCCTGGTAAAAGTTGAAGGCTGGAACCACCCCTTCTTGTCGGCATAGGCGGCTGGAATATGTTCCTCCATAATAGTTTGGGGATGGAGCCGACTCTTTGGGCGGCTGGTACTCTTTCCCTAGTAGAAATTGAGAGCTGGAACAAACCCTTCTAGTCGGCATAGGCGCCTGGAACATTCTCCCTCGTAGAAATAAGGGGCTGGAATCGACACCATGGGCGGCTGGAACAGTTTCCCCCGTAAAAGCTGGGGGCTGCAACCACCCCCTCTTGTCGGCATAGGCTGGAACATTTTCCCCCGTAAAAATTAGGGCTGGAGCCTCACCCGACTGAGGGCTTTCAACATAGTGATAAATCGGAGGGAGAGGGGGGGAACGGTCCAGGGAAGACGGTCCCATCATTGTCTCTACGCGTCGCTCCCAGACCGGGTCAGTCAGTGCGCTCGTCTGTCGGTCCGTCGGTCGTCATCGGTCGCCGTCTCTGTTGGTCGGTCGGTCGGTCGGGCGATCGGTCGTTGTCGGTCGTCGTCGTTTCGGTAGGTCGGTCGTTCGGTCGTCGGTCGTCGGTCGGTCGTCGTCGTCGTCGTCGTCTCGGTCGTCGGTCGTCGGTCGGTCGGTCGGTCGGTCTGTCGATCGGCGTCGGTCGTCGTTGTCATCGGTCGGTCGGTCGGTCGTCGTCAGTCGTCTTCGCTTCGGTAGGTCAGTCGGTCGGTCTGATCGTCGGTGTTGGTCGGTCGGTCGGTCGGGGTCGTCGG